TGTATAATGTAGGTCTGACCTCGTTTTTTTTAACTTGGTGAAAGCAACAAGAAGACCTTGTGGAATCTACCTGGTTATACATCTTCTCTCATAATATTCATGCTGATTTGCAGCACCGGACTGTTAACTTGGTACATTTCCAGACGTTACAATGACATCGTTAATGCGAAGAGGAGCCATCCTTAGTACAGAGTCACAACTTATCACAGGTTCGACAGAAAATTGGTGAAAGGGATTGCCTTCACTTTTCATTGATACTTTGTAACTCTTTGCTAAGGATTGCACCCCCCACTAGCGATGCCGACTACGATACCGGCGAAAAGCCTGGGAATGTAGCGAGTCAACGATCCGGTGCTGGAAATCATCAGAAATACTATGACAGAGAACGCAGGACTAGATACAAGGTCTCTCTGTCGCTTCGACCATGTTTTGAAAACAAGGTCAAATCAACACTATTTGCTGAAGGAGACTGCGGCCAAACAGAATGCCACACCATCTTGGTCCTCATTTACACTGCCCTAGACCAGCAGAATAATCTCAATGTAGATAATGCGATTTATGAGCTAATAAAAAGACTTTGAGTTATTTGGTTCTATTTTCGTGGCCTGTTCATAGTGTCAGGAAGACCTAAAGAAACGCACCTTGTCTTGAGTTCAGAATAGGAATGTTAATTTCCAGAGTTGGACCTTGAATTTGATAGATTCCATAATTATCATGCATGCTTAGACTCCGGACAAGATGTGCTTTTCTATGTCCTGACAATATGATCAAGTTGCGAAAACAGGGTCAAACCACTGCTATACAATGAAAGGCAACCGCGACCATACTAGAGGCCACATCATCTCGGTCTCTATAACTTAGAAAAAACGTCTAATTCATAATTCAGGGGGACAACGATAGAGACAATTAACAGCTTTAGCTGACATGAATGCATTTTCGTTATAATAATGAGTCGCAGAGACATTATTCCAAACCTAGATATAAAATTTTCTCTAGATGATTCATCGCTTTACATAAATATCGAGCTAGATTCAATACCTGAAAAGCACAGCTTACTCGAGCTTACATATTTTCATATCTTTTTAAATAATTTGCCATAATGATATGCAGGTAAATAATCGGTTTAGCAGTCGCAAATTTTTTCCAACACATTGCGGTCAGACCTGGTGTCAAGGTTAAGCTTTGCCCAATTCCTTATTGATTACTGGGATATATTGGCCTCGTACAGTGTTTAAGAGCTAAATGATCTCTTAATATGTTTGGTGATAGAATTAGATAGATTTTTATAGCCACCACTTTTTCATTCATTTTATGTATTTTATTGTAGTGTGTTTTATTCTGGAATTTTATCTTGAAAGCATTCATACAATAATTCAGCAAGGGCATACACATGCAACTTGTACAAGGGTTCTTCTTTTTTGCCCTTATTCATTCCTTATCACTTTTATTTCTTTCTCTTCCAACTGAGGTGTTACTTGGATTTGCATTTTATTGGTATGTCTGTGCTGATTGTAATGCAGCCGAAACTGAGTATTTATTGAAGGTTGGTCGCGAAGATAGTTTATACTATATTTTTGTAAAGAATTGGGAAAGAACCCATTTAACCCAAAATATCTTTATTCTTCGTTTATCAATCTTTCATTGTGTCTATTTGAGTTCGAATAAAAGAACTGGTTATACTAGTAACTTTAAATTAATATTATCACCAACATCCTTGTTTATCGACTATAAGAGAACATTTTTTATTTTGTTTTAATTAATGTTTGCTATTTCGAAAAATCAATACACCTAGTTTTCAGCACGATTTTGCAAACAAGCGCTGATTCAATGACCACTATTTAGACAATGATGTTGCCTCAAAACTTAAAATTAAGTAAAATGTAAGCAAATATTATTTGTATATTCAATCAACACGTCGTATTCCCCATGGTAAAATGCTCTTTGGGGCTCCTCTTATTGGGTCAGAAGCACCAAAATTGACTCATACTTCTCTATTTGTTCAGCAGTTGGCATATGAATGACTCCAATGTTTATACCTTAGAAGACAAGCAAGAGAAGCAAGATTTTGATGACGTCTGTATTTTGTTTTAGTTGTTATTCACTACAATTTTCAATTTGGCTTAAAACATACTCGGTTACATTGTTAATTTATTGATTATCTTTAGCATAAGTATTCTATTTTTGACGTGATTTATGGGCGAATTTACATCTGAGCTAAATTAAATTTATGCAGGTGCTGGAAATTTCGACCGCTCCAATTAAGAATCAGGCCGAATTCAATGTATAATTTAGGATGATTTATTATTACTGCTGCCGGTAAAATCAACTTTCGTTTTTTACAGACTTTATTTGATGCTTGTTCTGATAAGATGCGGCATTCACCTCGCCAGGTGCTTTGT